AACAGTAAAGGGCAGATTTAATGCATCTGAGGAAATATCTCATTAGAGCATATCAAATTTGAAAAATATAAATGACACAGATGCTGAAGTTACAAGGAAAGGTTGAACATAAACATGAGTTCTAGTAGAAAAGTTTGGAAGAAAGACTATGAGAAAATAACTATCTGAGAATTTTTCACAATCGAAGACATGAAATTGCACACTGAAGGAACCCAGGGAGGACCCTGTAGGTAAGTATTCTGAATCCACACCTGAAAATGGGAAGAATGAAAAGCACCAAGGACAAACAAAATGGCGAAAACAAGTAGGGACAGATGGGCAGTCACTCTTCCCTCTCATCTCTGTGTGATCACTAAGAAACCTGAAAGTGAAAACAGAGAGCGGATGGAGCCATGGTCTCTGCTCTTTCTGATCTCCATGGTTGAGGGCTTCCATGCCTGCCCCGCCCCCGCCCCCGCCCCACCCCCGCCCAGCCCCCGCCCCCGCCCCGCCCCCTGCCCCCATCTCCTCTCAGTAGGGCCCAAAGGCTTTCTATGGGGTTCCACCCAGGCCTGTCCTGCTTTGCAGAGTGGGCTGGTGGTGATGCTCATCTTCACTGTGCTGGAGTTTTTGCTGGCTGCATACAGTTCTGTTTTTTGGTGGAAGCAAGTCTATGCCAACAAGCCTGGGTAAGTTCTCTGTTTATTTCTGTCACACCCACCCACTGTCTCCCTGCTCTGATCTGCAATGATACAGGCACAAAGGATAAGATGGAAAGTGACTTTAATGATGAAAATAAGAGTTCGTTGAATAGTCACCTGGGTGGGATAAGACAGTGCCTACAGGGCAGCAGCACTGTAAGAAAATCCCTCCCTGAAGAAACTAGCTGGTTCTAGATGTTAGCCCCTGAAATTTCATTAGTGAACCAAAACTTAGATAAAAATACACGGGAAGAATGAGAGTTTACATAGCCTTGTTCTTATCGTGCACTCTGACATCTGTCTCCATAGCCAAGTGCTTGCTAACATGATTTTACCAAGATTTTACTGGGTTTTTTGTTGTTGTTGTTTGTTTGTTTGTTTGTTTTGCTTGTTTGTTTCTGCCTTTACTTAATGGCTTTTAATTATTATTTTTTCTTATTTTACATATCCATCTCAGTTCTCTCCCTCCCATGCCCCCTGACCCTCTCCCATCCCAGCCCCCCGCCCCACTCCACAAGGAGGGTTTTGGGTTTTTTTTTTTTTTAATGTTTTTCTGCTCTTCGCCTTGCTTCCTCTTATCCTCTACTGTTATAATTTCAAACTTTTCATTTCTCCTAAATGCTACAAGAAGATAACATTATAATTTGAACAAATCATGATTCAACTTCGAGGCTACGAGAAAGCAACACAATGAGGAAATGGGGTGAAATTTGCTTGAACTAATATTGCTGCAACTATATACTATGATGGAATTGCAAAAGTACTACTGTAAAATATTATTATAGTATATGTTGTATTATTGCACTTAAGAGAAATACATGAGTATATTTTAAACCTTGCCCCCCCCAAATCAAAGTGTTAAAGCCTATTAATAAATGTTATCCTTCTAGAGTGCATTTTTTTCATGCCTGAATCACAAGATCATACCCAAGTTGTCAAAAGCAGTTTGTTGAAGCCATGGATATGAAATACAGAAGAAGGAAGAAATCCAGTTCTCCCAGAAGAGCACAGATAGACATTCCTGAAATCTCAGTCTTGGTAGATCCAAATAAACTTCTGAAAGAAAAAAAAAAGCTTTCCTGTGGTGGCTTTCAATATGAGTCATTTCACTCCTGATGAAAATCATTTCCTCCAAGTCCAAGGCAGCAAGATTCTATATTTCACCATTCTACAATGACCACAGACTCTATACACTTCTCCAAACAGAATGAGCAGACAGTGTTTCATCTGTCTGAAGTTAGATGAGAAAGCGAGCAGCCCTGCAGGGGTGGAAGCTAATGACATCATGCATCTGGGTAGGATCTTTCTCTGTGTTACTTATACATTCCTGTTGCTTAAATATTAGACATCATACATTACCAAAACATTTGCAATCTTTTGAAAATGTGACAGCCTATGCATGGATCTGGGTTTTATACCCAGCATTGAAAAATAATAATAAATCATAGCTAGGCATGAAGCAGAAGGATTGCCCTGAGTTCAAAGGTCAGCTTGGGTGCAGAGTGAGACTCTGTTACAAGAAAATGGCTTATTTCTGTCTCACTTAATGATTTCACATATGGTAGGAATGGGATATTGAACTTAGGGCCTTGCACATGCTAAGAAAGAACTCTAACACTGAGTTAGATCCCAAACACACTGGCTTTAATTTTTATTTGAATTCAAAGACTATAATTCACCATGATATACTCTCTCATTTAAGTACTAGACTGAATAAGTCACTGAACACAGAAAAGCAATAGCAACTTCAATCCTAGATTGGAAAAAAAATCAACATTTCTCACCCAAGAAAGAGAGCTTCTAGTATTGCTTTGCATAAAGCAATGTTCAACTGAAATAAATATGTAAGGTTTCTAACATACAGACCTATTATGGAAACACAGCAGTACATAGACCAGTCCCCTACATGCCTAGGAACAGTAAAAAAGACAACTAAAATCTATAGAGAACTCAGAAAGAAAAGTGTGAAGAGAGTTCATCTCTTTTCCTTGGATTCATTTGTGTGTGTGTGTGTGTGTGTGTGTATGTGTACATACATGTATGTGCTTCAGAGGCCAGAGGTGCAGACGCCCCTTACAGATAGTTATGAGCTACCATATATCAGTGCTAAAAACTGAACTCCAGCCCTCTGAAAGAACAGCACACACTCTTTTGTTTTCTTTTCATCATCATCATAATCATAATCATCATCATTTTGCACATTTTAATGAAAATATAATATTATGGCTGGTGGGCTGACCAATTTCCAGGGCTATGGCTTAGCCCACCCCAATATCCAACTCATCTATGGACTGCTAGAGTATGTAAAGGGGCCCAGACCTGCAGATCCAAAGTTGCAGGATCTCCACGACCCAAGACAACAACAGGGTATCCAAGAGGAGTCCCAGTGAGGGTCCTATGACAATAGTAGCAGAAGCCAGAGTCCCTGAATCAGACCAATGATTCATTGCAATAAACACAAGTAATGACGTGTGGACTAAAGGGTACACTGTCTGACTCACTGTGACACACTACAACTTCCATACCAAGATTTTGTTTGTTTTGGTTTTTATTTTTATTTAAAATTTTTATTTTGTTTTAGGGATGAGGTTGCAAGGTCAAGGGAGAGGAAGATGAGTGGGATCAGGATGCATAATGTGAAATCCATAAAGAATCAATAAAACGTTTTATAAAAATATGTAATAGCATCATTTCTCTCCTCCCTTTCCTCCCTCCAGCCCCTCCCAAGTCCCCTCCTTTAAACTCCCTCCATGTCTTCTCCCTCCAAAATTGATACGCCTTTCCTTCCTGATTACCATTGATATATAGATGTATACATATGCACAAACATTAATATAATTATTATAATAATTATTATCTATCCATAATAAAAAAACTTGTGTGTATATGGTTTCAGGGCTGACCCCTTTATATTGGACAATCATTTAGGGAACTCATCTCCAGGAGAGGCTAAATCTTCCTATATTAGCAGTCATTAATTGCCAGTAGTTCTTTGTCTAGAGGTAGAACCCCATGAGATTTTTCCCCTGCTTCCACATTAGCATATCTATTGACACAGACATTGTTCAGATCTTGTTCATGCAGCCATTTCTATGAAAGACTTTCAAGCAGACATGCTGGTATTCTGGCCCTTACAATCTTTCCACGACACAAGATTTCCTCAACTGATTGTTTCCTTGGCTTGTGTACAAACTCTTAACCACTGAGCCATCTCTTCGGGCCCGAGAGTGGATCTTAAATTTCTTACCACAAGAAGAAAAGAGGAAAAGCAGTAACAGTGTCAGGTGATGGATATGTTAATTGACTTCATGATAGTAATAATTGTACAGTGTATTAAAACATTACTCTGAACACTAAGTATATGTTTTTAATATGCTGTAAAATCTGGAAAACATAGCCATAGTTTGCTATTTTAATACTATTAAAAGATACTGTTAAACAATAATATTTTTCCTAAAAGAAGGAAACTCCATTTACAAAAGGATGGAAGTATAGTTGACAGTAAAAACACAGGCTTTAGAGATAGAAGAACATCCTTCATCTATCTCTTGGCATTTATTCTTTGACAGATTGACCTTTCTGCTTCTCAGTCTGACCACTGTTCATTTGCCAAATGTGCCACTGCAGTGCACATTAAAACAAAGCACCTAACACAGTGCCTGAGATATAGTAGATGTGTTAAAGGCTTAGCTCCTTTATTATTCATAAGCAAGTTCATGAAAAATTCAAGAGAATGAGTGTGTCCAAACAACAGTATGCAAAGGTATTTGTGATTGCTGCAATTTAGGAACTATCTGAGATGATTCTTGCATCTGTTATGTCTGGCCTTATTAAACTGCTTACCTTGGTGATTTAGCAGTTGAAATCATAACAAATATGTGAATATAGACATTAGCCTGAAAAGCAAAATTCCAAACCATGTATAATTGTAATTAGTATTTGATAGAGTACCAGAGCATAATTGTGAAATATATATGCACATATATGTATATGTGCATATGTGTGTGTATATGTATACATGTGCATACACACACACACACACACAGATACAGGCATTTGTTTTGTATGCACCATCTATCTAATTTTGTGTTTACCGTATGCTTTTTAAGTGAACTGATAATAGAACAAGTTTTCAAGGTTCCCTCTGTAATAATCGAGAAGGCCAGTACACTCTAGAATTCTCAGATTCTATGACTCAATGACTGGGATTCTGTGGTTCTAGTACTATGTAATTGCTGTGGGCTCATGCGGCAGACTCCATGTGGCACTAGGGGAGAAATACATCATGATTATGGCTGCAATATCCTTTCACTCCTTCTCCTAACAGAGCTCTGCTGCTGAATCATGGAGTCACCATCTGGGGAGAAAAGAAGGTCCCATGTTATCACTATAGATCCAGATGAAGATGTCTTGACTGCCTTTCCCTACAGACCTCATAACTCTTTACTGGATCTCCTGAAGGGCGAGCCAAAGGTTTTGGGGGTGAGTTCTGCCTTATAATGGATCATCCCAGAAGGGAGAAAAGGGGCCTCATCTCCACTTTTGTCTACAGAGGTGGCTTTGTGTAATAATGTTCATGGAAGGAGCTGGGCTTCCTTCCTCCCTGGCATTTCCTCTGCAATGCATCCTTCTAAAGTCAAGGAAGCTCACTAGTCTCTACCCTTCACAGAGGAACTGTTGACAACTAATGGTTGCTGGGGGACACCAAAGGGATCAGTGATTTTCTCTAAAACTGTAGCTACTGATAAGTTTTGCCCATGCTCCAATAAATAACTCCATATCTCTGCTTTTATGATCAACCCTAATGCAAGTCAGCAAGTCACCAAAACAGACATGAAAACTAAGGACTAGTTGGAAAAAAGAAAAGGTCAGCATGGATGGGAGGAGGGTAAAAGAAGGTAACGTGTTAATGTGATAAATACATTGTTACATGAATGAAATATTCAGAAAATAAAAAGCAGCAGTACATCTAAGTCAATTGCTTGTGAAAAAAATGGATCTTCCAGAGAAAAGTTATCATGTGTCATTTCCCTTGATTTTGATAAAAATAGAAAGACAAAAGCTCTCTTTAAAAGTGCAATGCACAGTTTGCCTTGGGTCTGTCTTATATGTTAACTCTCAGCCATCAGTGCAGGAGATGTTTCTGAAGTGATGGACTCAGTAACTTTCAGGGAGTGAGTAGTCCAATAACTCACCTAACTCCAGGGAGGGAGGTCCTATGGCTGTTTCATGGGGAGCTAGTTCTGATCGTGGATTTTCAACATAGGGGAAGCAGGAAACCATGTAATTTTTCCAAATATCTTCCTGAAGAAATGGCCCCAGGGTATGGCAGTGCCTCTCACAGAACTAAGAAGCCAGTGAAGGTGAAGTCAAAGTCCCATCAGTGAAGTATAGGTCTAAAGGATGCATAACCTCAGGCTCGAACAACATGGAATGAAAATACTTTTTAATTATGCCTTACTAAACGTACAGCTGGTTTTCTTATAGTCATTCTGCAGACAGTACAACAGCTACTTCCTGCTTTACACCCTGTTAAGTATTTTGTTCACTCCCAGGCAGATAATGCTTAGACATTTCTGGTGCTCATGTGCATGGTACATTGTATTTTACCATCCTAGGAGACAATTTAAAGTGCACAGGAAGAGAGGTGTGGTGACACAAGTCTGTCATCCCAGCTATGGGAGGTGGAAGCAGAGGAGATGGGTGATCCTATGCTCCATAGTAACACTGGGGACAGTTCATCCTGTGTTCCATAGTGCCACTGAGGACAGTTCACCCTGTGCACCACAGTGAGACTGAGGACAGTTCATCCTGTATTCCATAGTGAGACTGGGGACAGTTCACCCTGTGATCCATAGTGAGGTTGGGGACAGTTCATCCTGCGTTCCACTGTGTTCCATAGTGAGACAGACAGTTCACTCCGTGCTCCATGGTGACAATGAGAACAGTTAGGAATCCAAGAGATCCTGTCTGGGAAAAAAAAATATGTAGAAAGAGGATATGTGTAGATTATCTACATATATTATGACATTTTTATTTATATTAGAAACAATCTTATTTTATATATCAATCCTCTCCTCCAATCCTTCCATGCCTCCCCTGACCTCCCCCCACCCCGACCCTGTCCCACTCCCCATCCACCCCCCCCCAGGGAGAGTGAGGCCTTCCATGGAGGATCATCAAAGTTTATCACACCATTTGGGGAAGGACGTAGACGCTCCCCCCTGTATCTAGGCTGAGAGAGTATCCCTCCATAGGGGACAGGCTTCTAAATTCCATTTGTGCACTGGGAGTAAATACTGGCTCCACTACAAGAGGCCTCAAAGACTGCCCATGCCTCCTAACTGTCATTCACGTTTGGGGGTCCTGGTTAAAGTGGAGATACCCTTGAATGAATTGGTATAGGAGACAACTGCCTGAACTTAACACCAGCAGCACAGACAATGAGATCAACAATTAATAAATGGGACCTCCTGAAACTGAGAAGCTTCTGAAAGGCAAAGGACACAGTCAACAAGACAAAACAGCAGCCCACAGAATGGGAAAAGATCTTTACCAATCCCACATTGACAAAGGGCTGATCTCCAAAATATACAAAGAATTCAATAAGTTAGTCACCAAAACTCCAAATAATCCAATTAAAGAATGGGGTACAGAACTAAAGAATTCTCAATAGAGAAATGTAAAATGGCTGAAAAACACATAAGAAATTGCTCAACATCCTTAGACATCAGGGAAATGCAAATCAAAACAACTCTGAGATACCGTTTCACTCCCGTCAGAATGACTAAAATAAAAAACACCAATGAAAACTTACGCTGGAGAGGATGTGGAGAAAGGGGAACACTCCTCCACTGCTGGTGGGAGTACAAACTCATACAGCCACTTTGGAAATCAGCATGGAGGTTCCTCAGGAAAATGGGAATCAGTCTACCACAAGATCCAGCATTTCCACTCTTAGGCATGTACCCAAACGATGCACATACAACAAGGACATATTATGACATTTTTAACATAAGAGACTTAAGCATCCTCAGATTCTGGTCCTGGTCTCTCACCCACTTTCCCATGCAAACAGAGGAATGACTGCACTTAGCATTGACAATGTGGAGGCCAATTATGAGGGTAATCAAGATGTCAGTGTGACAGAGGAGGAAGGGCGTAAGGAAATAGTGTATGGGGCCTGTACTTAAGAAGTTTGCATCTAGGTTTAGTCACACACAAATTCAAATATGTCTTCTACTACAAGAATGAAGAATTAAAATTGGGATGGACTCAGTATGATGGAGATATGGAAAATGTTTATATTGGGGTAGTGTGCAGCCAGAGGTGTGTTTGGGGCAGCCTACAGGTCTTGGCTCTTGTTACCTCATGTTCATTTTCTCCTTCCAGGCTATCCAGATTCTTCTTTCTCTGATCATTGTGGGCCTTGGGATTATATTAGCATTTAATTTCATCTTTTTTCTCCAAAAAATTTCCTCTTGTGATCATCACAGGATATCCATTCTGGGGAGCATTTATTGTAAGTACCATCTGCTAAGAACTTCTCAAAAGTTGCTATGAACACTAATGTGAATTGGATTCAGCTCTATGACAATACATTTCATAAGTGTGTCCCTTCTGAGATACCAAACAGGCAAACCACTCCTTGGCAAAAGAAATTACCCCATATTATTTCACTGGCCATTGTCTGCAACCCTCACAATGATGATTGTTCCCAGGTACATTGTGCTTTTCCAAAGCCCATGGGTATAATACATCCTGCAGTACCAAGCTGGGCAATGAAACAGTAGATAGTCTACCATGTTCAGACACAGTGAGTGTGAAAACAGAAACACATGAAGCTAGCACTCACAGAATTAGATTCAGTGAGTAAGAAAACTTGAGGGTAATCATAGCTCAGCACCCTTCTTACCTCAGAGGGTTCGTGTCTGTCACAGGGAACTATTGGAGCCATCAATAATTGTTTAGCACAATGTTGGTTCCACTGAACATTCCAGGCTTTGTTCCTGATCCTATGCTACACTACCTAGATTATCTCATATCAAAACATACAAGAGGGCAAGAATGAGTGTTTTACTTGCTTTTATATTCTCAGAAATTAGAATCATGCTTGAGATATGAGATACATGAATGAATGCATGGATCAATCAATCAATAAATCAGAAACTGAAATAAAGAATTAATGAGACCAGCATCACTATTAAAAACCAGTAATAAGCTATTTCTATAATTTGTATTTCAAAAACAAATTTTCCTAATGAAATAATATGATCTTGATTTCTAAACTACACTCACTCTAACACAAAGAACCAAATGGACCCAGTCTTCACCTCCTCGTTCTCCAATCAGTTTCTCCCAGTATGATTTGTGAGATTTATTGCTTCTTAAAAATCCACTCTGCATGGTAAAGGCATTTATTAAACACACAACTACATCTTCTTGGTAATGCCCCAGGTCTGTAAGTACTGTTGAACAAAGCTCTTTCTGAGAAAAGTGAAAGATGTTTTTACACTCACCATAAGTGCTCCAAAGAACTGTATGAGGGAGAAGGAATGTATGCATCCCCTGTCTATGACAAAAGGCACTAGCTAAGGGTGCATCATAGGAAAAAAACAACTGAGAAAAGTGCATGATTGTGGCATAAAATGGAACCACCTAGTCACTGTCTGGTTGTCGTCTAAAGGGCATCTGAGCTGACTGCAGTTCTAGCTATTGTGAACAGGGTAGCAATGCGCATGGATATGTGTAACTTCAATATACAAGCAAATGGTTTCTGTTGATTTTTTTCTTCTTTTTGTTGAAAGTTGTGTTCTCATTAGAGTACATTATGGGTTTTTGAGGAGGAAATGAATTCAAGGACGACAGCCATTCTGGGAAAATCAATTGGAGAGGAATTGCAATTGCCCAGAGAGGGAAGGTGATAGTGTGAGGCACTGAGAGAAGGGCTTTGAGGAGGAACAGGAGGAGGATGGGCCCAGTGGAGCAGAAGAAGACACCAATAGTAACTTCCCAATGTCTGTACTGCACCATAACAATTTTAGATTCTAAGACCCAAATCCACAGGTGCCAATGCCAACCCCCATAGATGGAATGAAAACAAGAACCTTCCTCCCTAACACTCAGGTTAGAAAGATTAGATACTGGGGGAGAGAGGGTAGCACTGACAGTTTGAAGACCCAAAGGAGACTGTGTTGTCGACAGATTAGATGTACCACCTGTTAACCATTGCCTCTTGTCTTCTGAACAGTTTTTTCTGACAGGATTTGTCACAATGTTCAATGATAAACCAAGACAAATTCTGGTAAGTAGTTTTTACAACTTGTACATGATTTAAAATCTACTTGCTTTGCAACAGCAGCTTTGGCCTTAAGTTTCAGGGTTTCTTGGGAAGATCTTGATGCAACAAGTTTTTGGTTCAAACCCAATCTGTGGGTGATTTAGCCCTGTTCTTTCCTTTTCTACTACTTCTCTGAGCAAACAAACTGAAAGTCACTCAGTGGGAACCACCCTACATTGTTGTAACTAAATGATTTTTAACTGGGAGTAGATTATTGCTCCTCCTCTTTCAATGGGGAATAGTTCACAATATCCAAAGATTTTTTTGATTGTCATAACTAGGTAGGTATACCTACCTAATTGGCAGTTAGATGTTAAGAACTAGGGTTGTCTCTAAGCATCCTTTTACTTTTTGGGTCTATTTTGTTTTATGTGTAAGAGTGTTTTATCTGGTGCCCACAGAGGCTAGACAAAAGTGTCAGATCCTCTGAAACTAGAATCACAGATATTTGTAAGACACTATGTGAAACTGAACCTGGGTCCTCTAAAAGAACAGCCAATGCTCTTGATTATTTAGCCATCTCTTCAGCTCCCTCTAAATACCCTTTAGAACGATGAAAGCATAGGAAGGCCTCCTACAGTAGAAAAATCATCTGACCAAAATGTCTACAATCTCAAAGTTGAAAAGCCCTACCTCAACCAAAACCCATCAAAAACCTTGTCACCCTTGCTTTATATTCCCAGCCCCACCTCCAGTGAAAACAGAGGCTTTCCTCAGAGGCCTGCCCAAGGACTAGACAAAAAGAGTGGCACTGATGCCACATGGTTGTAGGACTGAGTCAGAGCTGATTGGCTCTCAGTGCTCTTTCAACCTGATGGGAGATTACCTAAGAGCTTCTCTGAGGATTAAGATGTTATTTACAAAAGGCATGGTGATAGGCATGGTGATGTTCAAATGCTCCTACCCTCATCTAATCACTGCAGAAAACCCTAGAGCTATGGGCTTCCACTCAAAGTCACTGGATCCGTTTTCATGGCCTTTGGTCATGAATAATTACAAACTCTAGTGAAGTCCTAGGGAAAGGGATGAATGCTCCATCTGCTCCTCTGGAGATCAGTACTGACAGTCCCTACTGTGTCTCCTTCCAGAGCTAAGACATACTCAAAGGTTATCTGTGCCTCCCGGAGAGCTTCATGGATGGAAGAAGGCATGGCATGACACATGAGTATGGGATTGCAGATCCATAATAGCATGGGATGACTCACAGTCACTTAGTTTCATGGATCTCTAAAACACAGAAAGCAAGAGTCTTCCTGACATCACAATCCCTTAATAAGGATCAGATGGGACTAAGGCTGTGCTCCTAAGGTGTGATCTGCATGAGGGATCACATATCTACAGACCCTAGTCTGTTAATAGTCCCTGTGGAAGCCAAAACAGAGACTGGAAAGACCAAAGGACTTAATATGGAAAGAGCTTGACAGATTTGCATGCTCTTTGTTTTTATTTTGTTTTGCTTTGTTTTGTTGTTTGTCAAAACCACTAGTTTTCAATAAAAATCTTGGTATATGATAAACAGTTGTGAGTCTTGCCATACAAGGCTACATACAGAAATGTGTAAATGCATAGTTTCATTTCCAACCTCAGAAGACATAATGCAGCCAACAGAGGTATAGTAGATACACTCTGAAATGACCCTTTTTAAAAAGCAAGAGTGAATATAAAGAAAATAATATGATGCCCCCAACACAGTTTTCTTGTAAGAAACTCATACACCTCTCCATCAAATATACTGGGAATGAATAAAAGGAATTAAGCAGAGGGTGCCCAACACTAATTGATGTATCTACAGTATAACCACTACACTGAAGGCTTGGAGAACATCATAAATATGGGGTAGAAAGACTGTAAGAATCAGAGGAGCAGGGCATCTACTACAAGATTGCATCTTCTGTATATGACAGGGAATCTGCACCTATGACCTCAAAAATAAGGTTGCCTAAATAAGATATGAAAAACAAAACCAACTGACATGCCAGGTCAGGGTTAGGGTTAAGGAGAAATATCACTAGGCCCCACCCCTAGAACTACAATCTTGTAGCTGAAGAACTACAATCAATGACTGATGAGGTAGAGACAATCAATTTGTTCCAGAGCTAAGCCCCCAGTAGATGACCCAACCTCAAGAGTTCAACCCTAAACAAACATACAAATGAACAACACTAAATTAACTCTGTAGGTTGTATTATAAATTTATATGCACACATATGTGAAAATAATCATTAAATAATAAGAGGCCATGAATTTGAGGAGTGAAGGGATAAAACAAGGGAGAAGTTGGAGTTGGGGGCAGTGATGTAACTACAATACTCACGTACGTAAGAAATTCTCAAAAAAAATAATAATTTTAAAAATTAAAAAAAAATTACTGGGAGCAATCAGCTTTTTATGCCTCCCATGTGGTTTTGTTGATCATCATTTGATCCTTCCTGGGGAATATGGTGAGCTGTCAGTCCCCACGTGAGCCTTTGTATATCTGGAGCCATATGGTAATGCTTGGTATTTAGCATATACTAAATTTTTAAAAAATAAATGAATGCTACACTAAAGTCATTCTCATTCTTTTCTATTTTTTTACTTTTATTTAAGTTAGAAACTATCTTATTTTACATATCAATCCCAGTTACCTCTCCCTCTCATCCTCCTGATCTCATTCTTAAAGGTAGAAATCGAGACCCAGACAGACTAAATAGTTGGTACAAGTTCTAATGTAAACAGGACTCAAAACCAAGTCTGATTTCCAAGTTGAGATGCGTTCCAAGGCACCATCCTTCCAGGGTATGAAAGATGGTTTGTGCTGAGATGAAATAGACATTTTCAGGAGTGTTAACCATGGGGGTATTGCTGGCCCATTCTACAGTATGCTTTGCCTTCTGACTTCGACCAGTCAGAACTGAACTTGTCAAGCCTTCCAATCACAGGGACCTGATGAGGCCTCTAGAACTAGAAAAGTCCTAAGCATTTCCTACGAGGTATCTTTACCTTTCGTTCTTGTTTACTTTACCATGCTTTAAATCTATTTTCCAGAGACAAAGGAATCACGACCATGAACATCATTAGCTCGGTGGTTGCGGCAGCTGGGACTGTCCTGATCCTCATCAGCTTTACACAGCAGAACAAATTCTGTCAGGGACCCTCCCTTGAAGGAACATGTATTGTAGGCACAACACTTCTTCTCGTGAGTGACCGATTCTGGAGGGAGGAGTCTGAGCAGCCTTAGTCTGGCTGTGTCCATGACACAGTGATGTGTTGATTTTTACTCCTGACTTCACCATAGTCTCTTGATTTTTACTCCTACTTCTAGCTGCTGGGAGCTTGTAACCTTGACCTAACATTGTGAGGTCCCAACATTTTGGTTTTTCCCTCTTGTAAAAAATTAAAATACTAATACTGTAGCTACGTCCCTGTTATTTGATTACTTCAAATAACATCTGGCAAGGTATAAATGCTCAATGGTTTTTTAATTATTACTTCAATTTTATTCAAATTTACTTCTATGCTAATTTAAAAAATTGCTCAATTGATATGAAACAAAATGCAGTAGGAGAAAGTACTTAAGTGAAGTATTTCAATCTTCTAAATACACAAGCCATTTTGTATATTGTATACCTGTATGATTTTTACTCAAAATGGTAAATGACATATTCATTTACCAGGAAATATAATTACACAAGAGATTTTTACTTTATTATCTGTGTAGGTGTTTTGTATGAATGTGGGATTGTGCACCATAGGCATGCCTAGTTTTCTCAGAAGCCAAAAGATAGCAACGGATGCTCTGGGACTAGAATTACAGATGTGGATTCTGGGAATTTAACCCCAGGTCCTCCAGAAGAGAACCATGCTCAAAATTTCTGAGCTATCTCCAGCCCCTAATTAAAGTTAAGGTTTCGAGTCTGTTTTATAAGTAACATTACAATTACTTTAATTCTTTTTTACACTTATTTATATGAGGTGTGTGTGGTATACAATGTCATAACTTACATGTGGACATCAGAGAACAACTTGCAGGAGTTCTTTACCTCCTTCCAACATGTGGATCCCGAGGCATAAACTCTGCTTGTCAGGCTTGATAGCAAGTACTTTTATCTGCCCTCACATCATTTCCATCCATGTCAAAGATTTCAATGAGCATTTTCCTTTGGTCCCAAAGCAAACTCTGGGCTTTTAATCTGTTTCTGATAGCAACATCTGGAAGACTTGGGTCCTAGAATTTGAAAATTTGAACCAGTAAAGACAAAAGTGAAGAAGATATGTGGGAAATTAAATCCCATTGTTTAATCCCTGAAACCACCCAGTGAAGTGAAAGCAACAGACCTCCTTGTGTGTGCTGAGATAAACTCAAGAATTAGACTTGGGTTCCTAAGGACAGGCTGAAAACAATAAGGATAAAATCCTGTCCTACTTGATCCAAGTGAATATGATGGAAGCTTTACAAGGACTGGGGGCCAGTTCTCTCCTACTGGAAGGTAGACTGCAGGTGGGGGAATTTCACACAGCAGGATGTGATCACACTTCAGCTTTAGCAACAAGGCAGTTATCTAAGCTTCTGCATGTGCTCAAAAGAAAGACATGGAGACTTTAGTCACTTTCCCAGTATAAGTGTGACCTTGGGCCCAGTTGTACCCAGCTTTTGCTGTCTCTAGTACTTAGGCTTTTTTTTGAATACCACACTGCACCATACTGATTCTCAATGAAAACATTACCTTAAAGTAGTGCCTGCAATATGCCAGTCTGTGTACTAGATCCATTTGGCAGGTTTGTTTTATTTGACACATAGGTGAATACATAGCTGAAACTTTCAGTTCAAAAAAGAAAAAAAAATGTGTATAACCAGTTTCCTTGGAGAAGAAAAAAAAAAAAAAAGGTGTTGGGTAGCATATTCCCACACTGAAATAAGTCATTGTAATGAAATGGAAGATGCTTACAGGAAGGCTTTTGCTGTGTACTGGCCCCCTCCTTGTTTCAATCTAGAGAGTGAGTTTGTTACCCACTCCTCACCAGAAAGACATGAAAATGATGCAATGTGTAATAGCTACAGAACGGCATGAATATGAGTTTTTCTAAACTCAGTCATGGGGTGTAAAGTATTCTTGGCTTCTGTTTTTAAAGTGATGCTGCTTTTGACCTAAAAATGATTTCCTTCTCCTCCTTCTTTGCAGGGAATTTTGTCAATCTTACTAATCATCACCATAGCAGAGTTTAGCATCTCTGTGACTATTGCAGCCTTAAGAAGCAGGTGCTGGACCAATTCAAGAGAGGTGCGTCCAAGACTGTCGTGGGAACTGAGTGTGTGTGTGTGTGTGTGTGTGTGTGTGTGTGTGTGTGTGTGTGTGTACGTGTTCCTGTGGGTGAGAGAGCAAGTACTCCCATGCCACAGTGTGAGTGTGGAGATCAGAGAATAACCTCAGTTATTGGTCCTCACCTTCTACATTGCTTTGAGAAAATGTCTCTCCTGCTGTTCACTACTGCTTACTCCAGGCCAGCTTGCCTACAAGCTTCCAGCAATCCTGATTTTCTTGTCTCTTCCCACCCTCCTCCCTCTAAGGTTACAAACATCACAGTTGGTATTACTGCATCCACACAGAGAGCATCACTCCCCATTGACTTCTATTATGTGCAGATATTCTTAGATATCACACTGAAACTCTTAAATTAGGGAGGTCAGACGGTTCTGAGCTTAAGACTGATACTTACTCTACTCTTTAAGATAACTTGCTTTCCTTTTTTGTCCTATCTACTGTCCTCAATTATCTCTGATCACATATAATTTTTCATCTTCCTGAAAAAAAATGGAAGTATGGAACTCTGTGGAAAACCCATAGTACTGTGACTTTGGGAGCTTATGTCCTTACTGATTGTTTATAATGTCAAACATTATTATACTCACTTAGTGCCAACTTAATAATGGTGTTAATACTATATCAACACCCTTATTCTACTACAAAATGAACTAAGGCTTAACAGAGTTGTTAATTAGCATCTTCAGTATGGCAGAACACGGGATCCTGACTTTGTGGTGCAGCTCCTGGCCTTGCTTTCTGAGTTACAACAGCAGTTGGGACTGCTCAGCATAGTGTTTGCTTGCTTCCTTGCTTGCTTTTAACTTTAAACAATCAAATGCACACATTCGAAGTATGCTGTGCAATAAATTTTGACAAATTTCACACATCTATTTAATTGTCATTACAATCAGGATATAGTTCAATCCTACCATCCCAAAGATTAATTTGGATTTTTCCTGATGGTTAGCGATACACATATTGGCAGGAATAGCTCTTCCTTGAATAAGAAAGAACTTTATATAGGTCCCTATCCATCTCTTAATTAGGTTTTTCATTTGTCATTGTTGTTGCTGTATTGTAGTGTTTTCACATGTACAGTTTGGTAATTTCTTATTAGACATATGGTCTGTAAATATTTTGTTCCACCCTGTCTCCTTGGATTATTGTTTTTTTTACATTCTGGATAGTCTCATCAATGTACAAAAGTCATATTTTTTAATCAAATCTAATTTTCTTTTCTTTTTTTTTATTTACAAGCTTGGATATATTGTGATGTTATGCATGTGGTATGTGATTGTGCACTCATGCACAGTGTGTGTGCCCAAGATCAGCATTGTGTGTTTTTCCTCAATTGGACCAGTCTATGTTCGTTTTTGAGATCAGAAATCTCACTGAACCTGGGGTCCATGAATCTACCTAGGCCATCTCCATGTCTCCAAGGCTAGGGTAATAAGAACATGCTTTGTCATGGTTCACATGGCTTCCAGCCTCTGAATTAAGGTTCTCTTGCATATGCAGCAGGTACTTTACCAAATGAACCATCTCCCCATCTCTCTCTTGTTGTCCAACACATGAAATTGTCACCAAATGCAACTGTGACAGTATCTTGGTTGCCATCTTAATTGGATTACAAAGAATCTAGATGACTTTAGGCCTCTGAGCTTGTCTGTAAGGGTATTTCCATAAAGGAAAGGGTAATTAAAATCTATCTTGAATGTAGGCAGCACCATTCCAGGACATAGGAATTAAAGAGGATGGGACCCACCAAAGTGTACATTTTTGGCTTTTAAGTTTGATCCACTGAGAACCAATGTTTGTCTATGGTATTGGGTAAAGGCTCAATCAATTTTTTTCCATGTGGCTATCAAGTTTTCCTAGTGCTAATTGTTAAAAAAGACTGTCCTTTCCCAAAGAATGATCCTGGCATCACTGTTGAAACTCCATGAACTATTTATGCTATGATTGTTTCTAGGTTCTCTATTTTATATACCAGTCCATCTTACCATAACTTTATTGAAGTTTCAAAATTGGCAAGTATTATTTCTTTAAATATTCTTCTTCTGTTTAAATAATTTTGCTATTCTAGACCACTTAAGATTCCATATAAATTTGAAATATGTTTAATGCCTGAGAATGAGATTATTTGTATTTTGACATGGATAGCATTGATTATTATTTTTTTACATAGCATTGATTTTTAACAACTTTAAGCCTTGTTATAAACAAACATGGAGATCCCCATTTGTCTTTCAGCAATATTTTCAGGTTTCAGCATAGGAATCTTTCATTTCCTTGGATAGACATTTTTTCTTGAATATATCATTCTTTTAAATGATACTGTAAATTAACTTTTTCCTCAGAACCTAGTACATATTATTGTACTGGGTGATTTTTTATCATTATATACTCATATATTAGTCTGATTTTAATTGTCAACACTTTCAGGGTGAATTCAGATTGTCTTTTATCACCAGCATTCAGTTCATCTAAATAATTAACAAATCAAATAGTAGACTTTTGTGTGTGAATATTAACTGGATACTTTAAACGTCTTAGAATAATTTAGCATTATTCACTATAGAAAAAAAACCTGAGGCAATTTTGATCAAATCACTTCATTCAGTATCTAGGATTGGGACCAAATAATGAACAGACAGGAAAGGCTGGAGAGCTTCAGCTACCTTGTGCGTACATGTGTACATGAGAGAGGAAAGATAATATGAGAGTACAGTGAGAAGATTACATAAAGACAATTCTGGCCTATTAACACTGTACTTTCCCCCCTTGGTATTACAGGCTGTATTTTTTTTTCCTTCAGAAATTACTCAAAATACTGAACAGTCTGTTCCAGAAGAAAATCATCAATTACAATTTGAGTTCGAAGGAACATCTCCCAGTAATAATTCAGCTTCAAACATAAAAACCATTTTCTTGGGGGGGTTATGCTTTCTTCAAGCTCAGAGTCTCAAGAAATCCTTCAGCTCCCCAAAATATCCCACAGAAAAGTGATAAGGGTCCATCTTCTACGCATGTTCCAGATGAACAGGAGACTATTCCTCCACCTTCTCTAGAGGAAGAAATTAAACTGAATGGTTTACCTCCCCCATTAATACCAGAGTCTTCAGAAAATATTCCTTCTCAGAAAGAATCTAGAAGCAATAACCTGAATGATGAGGACTTAGAATCTATTACAGGTCATGCCTCTGATCCGCAACCCAAATTGCTTAAAGACCAAAACTTGCCACTCAAAATTCTGAAAACTCCATCTTCACATGATTTACTCCCTTTGTTACATGATAGTTTATCATCCCAAACATCAATGGCAGGTCTGTCAACACAAGTCTTACAATCTAAAGCCCCATCATCCTATATGTCACAGACTTATGATCTGACATCTGATGACTTGCCTTCTGAAGACATACCATCTCAAGAAACCCCATCCCAAGACATGCAATACCAAGACACACTAACTCAAGATGTATCATTCGAAGACATGCAATTGCAAGATACACTAACTCATGACTTACCATACCAAGATACTCTATCCCAAAAGACTCCATCCCAGGAAAGTCCATACCAAGATACTCTATCCCAAAAGACTCCATCCCAAGAAACTCCATACCAAGATACTCTATCCGAAAAGACTCCATCCCAGGAAACTCCATACCAAGATACTCTGTCCCAAAAGACTCCATCCCAAGAAACTCCATACCAAGATACTCTATCTCAAAAGACTCCATCCCAGGAAACCCCATACCAAGATAGTCTATCCCAAAAGACTCCATCCCAGGAAACTCCATACCAAGATACTCTATCCCAAAAGACTCCATCCCGGGAAACTCCATACCAAGATACTCTATCCCAAAAGACTCCATCCCAGGAAACTCCATACCAAGATACTCTATCCCAAAAGACTCCATCCCAAGAAACTCCATACCAAGATACTCTATCTCAAAAGACTCCGTCCCAAGAAACTCCATACCAAAATACTCTGTCCCCAAAGACTCCATCCCAAGAAACTCCATACCAAAATACTCTGTCCCCAAAGACTCCATCCCAAGAAACTCCATACCAAGATACTCTGTCTCAAAAGACTCCGTCCCAAGAAACTCCATACCAAGATACACTAACTCTAGATATGCCATCCCAAGAGACTCAATCTGCAGAGACTCCACCACAAGAGATTCCCTCCAAAGATACTCCATCCCAAGAGATACAATTCCAAGATGTATTGTCTCAAGACAAAATATCCCAAAGCACACAAACCCAAGATACAGCACCCAATGACATGTCATTCTCAGATCTTCAAGTACTAAACACTCAAGTTCAAATCCAGCATTGTCCAGAAATATTTTATAGAGACATTCGAACAGAAGTCATGGAGCAAACTCAAGAGTGGAAATCTAATATGAGCAAGAAACCCCCAAGAAGACTTTCCTTATCCTTGCCAAGCAAACATGGAAAATTCCGTCCCAAGAGACATTCCATGGACCTTCAAATCAAAGGTGACAAACCCCCAAGGAGACATTCTGTAGAATTACAAAGGAAAACTTCAAGACGGAAATCCATAGATCAGCAAATCAAAGACTGGATATCCCCAAAGAAGCACACCACAAAGAAACAAGATGCATATACTCAAACCCCAGAGCAGTTCCTATACCAGCAAGCTGACCAGCAGCAGGCCAAAGAGGAAGAGGTCCCAGTACAACAATCCCAAGATGAGCAAACCAAAGACCAAAAATCTGTAGAGGAGCTATACCCTGAAGAACAGATCAATGGCAAAGAGGAAGAATATCAGGAATCTGATAAGGAGCAACCTCCAGAACAAGAAGCTCAAGTTCTACCAGCTGAAGACCAGCAGCCCCAAGAGCAGACAGCCCCAGACAGCCAGTTCCCAAACTGGCAAGAAAGACAACAAATGCTAGTAAAGAGAGCCCCAACACAGTTGTGTGAGAACTGGGACTCACAAAGCTTTCAATTCACAGAAATGTCATGTTCATACTGGTCAACTCCATCCTGGCAGCCTGCTAGCCTGGGATCCCAAGACTGGAGAAGTCAAGGCTGGAGAAACAAAGATTGGAAAGCACAAGAATGGCAGTTTGAAATACATCATTCCCTAGACTGGGAATCCCAAGAGCTATTAGAAAGAGAATCCTTAAGGCAGAGAGCACTATACCAAGACATCCAACCCCGTAGCACCATAGTCCAACATACCCAAGATCATCAAGTGCGTAACTTTATATTTCAAGTAGGTCTGTGTCAAGGCAATGACCAACAAGATTCTGAATCTGTTGTTTTAAGAGGAGATACGTATGCAGATGTACAAACAAGAGACAGAGAACACACAGACATAGCAGATACATGTCAGAAACCAAAAGACCAGCAATCAGAAGATGGGAGGTCAGATAATTATCCTCCTTGTCAGAGTTTGGTTCCATACACATATACAACCTGTTTATCCAATATAGCTTCAGAGCAAGAGGTGCAGAACAATTCACCCTGTTCAGATTCATCCAAAGATCTGAATGCCACTTCTTCATGGTTTCAGAGAGATCAACAGCAATCTGAAGATTCAGATTAACTTGTGCGTCTAACCAAAGACCACAGATCCCAGATAGTGGAGCCAGATGAGGATTAAGCAGTTGATTCTTCCCTAACCTGTGTTCTCACCTGTGCTTGCTGCCTAATCCACTCACCAGAGATAAAGGGCATGCAGAACCTACAAAGAACAGGGATCTCTTTAAAACTAAATGGCAACAAGTCGAATGTTGAGACTATATCAGAACCTTCTGGGAGTGAAGAAATAAATCTCATCTAAACTGTAAAGTTTTTGTCATCAATTTTAGTATTTCAATGTGTGGTTGGCAATTCAGCTTACTACTTAATGGTTCTGTTTTCCCATAATACCAATATCTTCCCCACATTTGTGATGTAGCTGTGTGCATTAGATTTGTTCAGTGCTTGGTGAAATAGGAACCACAGCCAGAGATAGAAGAGTAGAAGTCAGGGAAGGGTGGCCATGTGCATATTATAACAGAAAATATGGCAAACGACTGTATTGAAAGAAGTTGCAGCGTTCTCTCGCATGCCTGCACTCACAGCTTTGTCAGTATTAGGAGCCAATTTCACTTTTTGTGGCCAAATGAATTGTGTTAAAAAACTGTCAGTTACCCTCTGTCTTCAAAGTCAACCACAGTTCTCTAATCCTCTTCTCTTTGGATAAAATCTTGCTTTTCTGTCAGCTCTGAAGCTTAGCATTTTACTCAGCTGCACAGTCTTCTCTCTCTCTCTCTCTCTCTCTCTCTCTCTCTCTCTCTCTCTCTCTCTCTCTCTCTCCTCTTTCTCTCTCCTCTCTCTTTCTCTGAGTGTGTACTTGAACTTCCTAATCTGTAAACACAGAAGCCTCAAGAACATACATAAAAAAGAGATATTAAAGCTGAGGGATAATTTTGAAGCACATAATGTTGGATATCAGGTACTTTTCATGTAGTCTAACAAGCCACATTTTCCACCTTAAAGTTGGGGCCTGTGGCCAGTTAAGTCCAGTTATAGTACAGAAACAATGAGGGTGGGTAGAAGTGTGCTCTGATAATAAGCAGGATTGTCTGACATGGTAGCTCCTTCAGGAGAGGCCTAATAGTCTTTTCTGGCAAGGGAATATTCTCATAGATAGCCAGGTACCACTTGGGACAAGGGACCTCCTCCCTGAAAATAGTGGACTCATTAGAATTCCAGATTCAATGTTTTCAAATTTGCAAAGTCTTACCATAGTTAGCCATTTCAACTTTAAAATTCCATTTGTTCTTAGCAATGTCTCTACTTTAATAGAAGCACCCCTGAAGGACAGAATTTACCTTGCATTGTAATCCATCCAGTTGCTAAATGAGATTCTGCATTTATTTTTCAGCAATGTTAACTCTGTAGCTACAGATGAGAAGAGGAGCCTTCAGAACACAGAGCAGTGGGTCATGTCTATGGTGCTGGGTCTAGGAATTCAAATCCCTGAGATCTTCCCTCTTTTTCCCTACTTTGCCCAGAAGAAAATAATAACAGCAATCAACTTCATTATATTTACGCACTCTGAAAAGCATTTTCAACCTTCATGAGCAATGTCACCTAGAATCTTATATACAAATGCTTATTAGGAGCAGTAGATGGGGAAATTTGTAAAATTCTGAAGCCAGGTCATGCCATGGACTAAGATGGCTGAAAAGAGACTCCTTGGCATCTTTATGGATGATGAAACTGGAGAGTTTATTTTGAAACTCCAGAAAAAAATATGTAAGAGTCATTCCTTTAAAAAAAAATAGTGAATATCATGAAAGGAAGGTTATTCTGTTCCACAGAAACTTTTCTTAGACCAAAAAAAATGCATGCCATAGATGTCTACAAAGACAAATCATTATTACATAGATGGATGGCTAGATGGATGATAGATAACAAACAAATAGATGATAAATATTGCTTTATAGTACTGAACAAATTATCTCTTTGCTTTGGATTGAAATATCCTACCTATAAATTCTAATGCAGAAGTCCTACTCCTCATAGAATAACAATGGAAATAAATCTTTTGAAGATAGTAGGTTCCAGTGAAAATAGAAGAGTGTGACCCTCATGGTGGGAGTAGTGCCCTCCTACAGTGACACATTCCTATACATCTAGCACTCAAGAATATGAAGAAGAATTGGAAGTTCAAAGCCAGCCTGGGCTAGTGAGCTTGAAGCCAATTTGTACTCCACTATGAAATTCTTTTACTGCACACACGAGAGATGGGGGGGAAGGGTTTGAGGAGACAGAGAAAGAGACAAACACAGAGATACAAAGAGACAGAGGCAGAGATGGGGAGGGAGGAGGGAAGGGTAAAGAGGGAGAGACTTACATAGGGACACCAGAGAGCTGGAAATGTCATACAAAGGCATCAGAAGAAATCAGCCACCTGAAAGCCAAGAAGAGAGCCTCATAAAAAAAAAAACCCTACATTTGTAGGAATAAGAACAATTGTTTATATATTATTGTTAGGGATGTGATGGTTTAATAAATTATGGGTTCTAGATTATCCTTCAATGACCATGATTTCACCAGCACTGAAAACTAGGTTTCCAGTACCAGGCCTGGTTTCCCTCCTATTGAATACATCTTTATTATAATTAGAGAATTTTTGTTTTCCACCAAGACTTGTGTGGCACTATTACTACACCCTTAGGGTTATTGTGCCATGCTGGTTGATGTAGTTAACTGGCATCATAGCTTGGTTAAGACTATTTGTTGCCTCCCTCTTTTGGAAGCTTTCATGGTACCTTCTGACCTTGAGCTATCCCTCATGGAGGAACATCTGAGTCAGTTCCAACTTACAGGTGAGTGTAGTCCACTCCACATCAAGGAAACTTCTCTTTACAACAGAAAGAGCCCACTATAGAAAAACATAATGACTCAAAGTGCAGACTTTGTGGAGCACAGTGTTAGTGGAAACACATACAAACCATTTTTTTTCCACACTAAAGGTTCAGGGAACACTATGAAAGAGGAAGCAGAGAGTTTGTAAGAGTTACATAATAGAGTTTGCTGTGATTTGTCTTGTAGTAACATCAGAAGCAAAATCCATAAAGTCTTGCCAACATGATTTCCCAAACATGAACTGAATGAGTATGATACCAAATGACATTCCAGACTGACGAGGAAAAGCCCAGGTCCTTCATCCCTACACAAAGAACTACAGGCAACTAGAAAGGCTGGGAGCATGAGAAGTCTTTCCCAGGAAAGGGCACACCAAATGGCTGTCCAGTGACAAACAGTGATGGAAACACACATACAAATAACATTCTAAAGACTGAACAGGTTATATTTAGAAATACATATGTAATATTATATTCACAATTAGTGGGAAAAAAGCCATGAATTTGAAGGAGAGCAAGTAGGGGTATATGGCGAGAGACTGGAGGGAGTAAAGGGAAGGGAGTAATGTGGTAATTATAATAATCTTAAAAATTAAAATCTATGTTTGATGGCACCCAGATTTAATATTTTCATTTTCTAGAATCATAAATAAAATTGTTATACAAATTTCCTCAATCTCACCATCTTACTCCTGCCAGAATAGCTAAAATTAGAAACACCAATAACAACTTTTGCTGGAGAGGATGTGGAGAAAAGGAACACTCCTCCACTGCTGGTGAGAGTGCAAACTCGTACAGACATTTGGAGATCAATATGGCGGTTCCTCGGGGAAAATGGGAATTAGTTTACCACAGGACCCAGTCAATCCCACTCTTAGGCATATGCCCAAATGATCAACATCCATGCATGCAACAAAGACATCTGTTCAACTGTGTCCATAGCAGCATTATTTGTAATAGCAAGAACATGGAAGCAACCTAGATGCCCCTCAACTGAAGAATGGATAAAGAAGATGTGCACATAAACACAATGTAATACTACTCTGCGGGGGGGGGGGGGAATGGAATCTTGAAATTTGCAGGCTAATGGATGGAACTTGAAGAAACGATCTTGAATGAGGTAATCCTGTCACAAAATGAGGAACATTGTATGTACTCACTCATATATATGGATTTTAGAGATAGAGCAAAAAATCACCAACCTATAATTCACACCGCCAGAGACACTGGGATACAAGGAGGATTCTAAAAGAATTCATACAAAGGTTCCTCACAAGAATGGAGAAAGGGCGAGATCTCCTGAGCATATGGGGAGTGGGTGGGGAGAGAAGTGAGTGGAGAGGGAACTAGGAGAAAGAGAATGGGAGGAGAGGGAAAGCATGTGGGACTAGGAATATTGAGTAAGGGGAGGAATAGATGAGAGAAAAAAGAGATATACAATAAAAAGAGGGAGCCATTATAGGTCTGAAAGAAAGAAACTGACTCTAGAGAAATGTCCAGAGACCTACAAGACTGACCCCAACTCACAATTTGAGCAATGGTGGAAAGGCTACCATAAATGCCCTTCCCTAATAATGAGATCGATGACTAACTTACCCACCATCATAGAGAGCCCCCTCATCGGTAGCTGATGGAAACAGAAGCAGACATCCACAGCTAAACACTGAGCCCAGCTGGAATTCAGGGATCAGAAAAGGAGGACAAGACCAGGCTACAGAAACCCACAAACAGCTGACCTGAACAAGGAGGAGCTAATGGGTCCCCAGACTGATAGCTGGGGAAACCAGCATGGACCGCCTCAGACCCCCATAACATGGGTCTCGGTTAGAAGGACTGAGCAGTCTAGGGATCTCTGACAGTGAAACCAGGTTGTATCCCTGGTGCACAAAAGACTTTGGGAGTACATTCCCCATGGAGGGATGCTCCCTTAACCTAGAGGCAGGAGAGAGGGCCTAGACCCTACTCCAACTGACAATTTTACTGACCCCTCCTGGAAGGCATCACCCTCCATGTGGAGTCTGGGGGAGGAAATGGGATAGGAGGGTGGTTGGGGGGGCATGGGAGAGAGGAAATAATAAGAAAAACTTTGCACAATCTCAGGCACTTAGTCATAGCAACCCAAACATCCTAACGCCAAACCTTTTATATTTTTCTTAGATAGCTAGAAAAGAGCAAGGGCATTAAAAAAAATCATCTGACCTCATAAAACCAAATACCACTTCATCTTTGATAAACAAGTCCCTAAAAAGTAGTCAAAAGGGAACACTATATGGAGAGAATTCCATGGGCATACTTATATAGTGTGAATAAGAATTGCAAAGTGTATGTCCAGAAGATACATCCCTAATGCCTGCTTTTATTTAAAATACTCTATGCATCTTGAACCCCAACTACCGAAGTTAATAAGGATTCAGTACAATGACAACACAGTGAGTCATCATCCATAAAAGCCAAGATAACAGCCCAGGACAACTCAGCAAAACAGGAAACCCCAGTTGCTTTCTTCCTCTCATGTCTCCTCGTCACTCCCCAAAATAACTGAAGATATTGGAAGGAACAATGGACTTTCACAGTCCTTCATGGGATAAGGTCTAAGTCAGTGTTTATAATTTAAAGAACAAATGACACCCAGAGGACTTGGAGACCTTCAGGCAGAAGACACCTGTCACTGTCCTACCTCTCTACGGCTGAATATCATTTTTCAATAGAAAGACAAGAAATTTCAAAACAAAGAAAAATAAGCTTAATCTACATTATGTTATAAATAAAAGGACTTGGGAGCCTTTCCCACAAGGGAATAAGAGAAGAAGCCTTGAACTAGATTCTCATCTCTTGCATCATCATAACTTCCCAAGAATAGTTAGCAACAAGATAAAATAAAAAAGATAGTAGTTTGAATATAATTGTCCCCCATAAGCTCACAGAGAGTCGCACTATTAGGAAGTAGGTCTTGAAGTAGGTAGGTGTAGCCTTGTTGGCAGAAGTGTGTCACTGTGAGGGCAGGCTTTGAGTCTCTTTTGCTTAAGCTTCCCTCAGTATAAAAGACAGACCATTTCCTGTTGCCTACAAGATTAGGACTCTCAGCTACTTCTCCAGCACCATGTCTGCCTGCATACCACCATGCTCCCTGACGTGAGGATAATGGACTGAACTGGTGAAACTGTTATGTCCGATATGGACATAACCTCTTCCACTAGCAAGATTCTGGTCTTGACAGAAAATTCAGTGTAGGAAGGGATGAATAACAGAATAACAGAGCATCACAGTGTGTGTGTATATGTGTGTGTGTGTGTGTGTGTGTGAATACATAGAGATATAGAATCAAGATATACATGTGTACATACATATACTTGTAATACATACATATCCCACAGTGGTACACAGAAAGCTGTAGTTAAGAGTACTCTTACAGGGGACCCACACTGGGCAGCTCAAAAGTGCCTCTAGCTCTAGATTCAGGAAATGTGACAACCTCTTCTGATCTCCATAGATGCCTGCACACAAGACACACATGGACACACACAACACACACACACACACACACACCTTTAAAAAGTAAACAAATTCTTTCTTTTGTTTATGTCTTTGCAATTTGACAGGGCAGATCCACTATTGAAGTAGTCTATTTCTTTATCACTTGAGTCCTAAACTGCCTGGAATTGCCTAAGCTAATGGGACACTACCAAATGACTCAACATGAGTCTGAATGGCATTATTGTCCTGAAAAAAAAAAAGAACAAAAGTTCTAGTGGGCCACAAATGTGTGAGAAAACTTGGCAGGGATTAATAGAACAGTACCTGCCAGGAAAACCAGCAATAAAAATGGCAGTGTCCACAAAATAAAAATGTAGTTCTTTGAACCCACTATGCTTTGGGGTTTATAAGATAAAGCTAGCCAAAATGAGGTGGCAAAAAAAATACCTTTTAAGTGACAGGCAACATGGATAAAGCGCTTTTTAAAAATTGACTATTGGTTCAAGGCTTAAGGTTTCTCTTCTCTACATCTGAAGTGGAAAAAATGGAAATTTGGATATTAAAAGATTTCACAGATTGAAATACATATGGGGGAAGTTGTGAGAACAGAGGACCAAGTGACTTGCTCAAGGACACAGTGTTTTCTGACCAAATCAAAACCACTAGTCAGCTTCTCCAATCCAATACCACAGATGTCCAGGGGCACTTTAACTCCATATCTTTGGGCTCTTGACCATTCCTGAGATTCTAAGACTCTGTGACTTTATGGTTCTATAATTCTAAGCCAAAATATAACAATGCCAGTGTTCTAGATAGCCTCAGTACGGAAACAAACATGGTCTAAATGGGAGTACCAGCTACATCCTTTTCTTCCATGAAAAGATCAACTATACCATCATGGATTCAAACAACATACACAGACCTGTGCTCCTAGTATTTCCTCCAGAGATCACCAGTCCAGGATACAGAACAGCAGGACTTATAGCCACAGCCTCTAACTCCCAAAACAAATTGCAGAAAGTCCTTATTAGAAAATTGAAGATCCTAGGGGTGAGTAAAATGTGTCCCTCTGTGTATGCTACACAGGGTTGAAATTGGGTAAGCGCTATGTGGTAGCATACATTCTCCAATAGGAATGACCTCCAACTTCCATCTCCACTCACTTGAGGAAGAATGGATTGTGCTTCTATATAAATTATGCACAAGACTCTGCCAGCAGGGAAAATACAAGATGAATAAATTCAATGTTCCTGGACTCTTAAAAAACAACAACCTTCAAGCCAACCATCTTTGAGATTTTTCTAGTCAATTGCATAGAGGAAAAGGAAAATGACAGTCAAGTAGAAGTTAGGCCAGACTCCCCTAAGCTTACATACTGTAACATATTTTTATACCTGCCCAAGAAAAGCTCAGAACTCACAGTTTTATACAACATTCACATATATGATTATTTATGCATATAAGTATAAATATTTTTTAGAATAACCTGTTTTTTCTTTTTCATTTTTAAATTAAAAATATAAGTACATAATCTCCCATAAACTTAGTTCCACTGTTCCCTCTCAAAACTGTGGTCTCTTTTTGATTGTTATATGTATGTATAAATATACAAATACATAATAAATACAATCTGCTGGTTCTCATAGTGTTGCTGACCACTTGTACTTGGATCACCAATTCACCAATTAAAAGACTAATCTCCCTTTCTCAGCAGTCTTGGTTGCCTGTAGTTTTTTGTCTAGTGGTGGGGTCCTGGCAAATGTTCATTTCTCTGTCAGTCAACTTGTTAATTCCAACAAATACCAATTATATTTCCAAACTTTCTTAAGGTAATGGGCAGGTGAGAGGTAGTCACATACATTTGAGGGTTGTAATGCAATGCACATCTTTGAGAATATTTTGTCCTTTGAACTTCAGCCTCCCATAATGGAATATAGAAAGTAATCTTTTTCAGGAAAAAAAAAAAGATATAAGAAAGATCATCCTGTGGCACACGGAAGACTGCTAGGCAAGTGCAATCTGCTTCAGCACCTCTTCAAATACAGTGGAGTCAGTCTTGGACGAAATAGTTTATGTTAACGAAATAGAACTAGGTGCAAGTAAGTATGTTAGTTACTGTATTCACAGAAATAACTGCAAGCTAGTTTTTCCTCACTCAGGAAAATAAAGGTATCATTCAAACATAATAATAGCATGAAAATACAGATTACATGACCCCACCTGGAACATAGCCCTACATGGAATGGAGTGGGGGGATGGGAGAGGAGGGTGGTCAGGGTGCATGTGACAGGAGAGAGAGGGTAAAAGAAAGGGAGGGAATGAAAGAAAGAGAGAGAGAGAGAGGGAGGGAGAGAAGTAAAGAGGAGAGAGGGAACTGGGATCGGCATGTAAAATAAAAATATAATAATAAAAAAAAGAAAATATTGAGAATTATATCTCAATGGAGTATCTAATAGGAGCATAAATGGTAATAGTGGCAGTGGGAACTCCAGAGTTGGACAAGTTGTTTCCAATTAAAAGGGGTGGGCACTTTTGTTTTAGAACAATCACATTACTTGTTTTGGGGCCTACTGTTGTATGCCAAGAGTTTCCCATGTGAGATAGAACATATGTATCTAATTACACCAGATAGGGAGCCCACCATTTATCAAAATTCAGACCCCACCAAAGTCTACCTTGGCAAAGCAATGAGCTCTGTTGGGGTAACCTACAGGACTAAGCATTAATTACTGGAGGAAAAAACTATGCAGAGACAGATGCGTTCCCTATGCCCACCGACTTGTGGTAAAGCTCACTGGAGCCTGGAGCATGCTGCACAGCCTGAGGCTGGAGAGTATCCTTTCCAGGAGCCTCAGTTGGGCTGTACTTCTCACAGGCACCTTGCCTTTTCTTCGGCTCTTTCGGGCAGTTTGGGTGGTCTCTGCCTATTTCTAGGCTGCTTGTTTTGTCTCAGACTCTTCTTTGCAGGATGGCTTGTTTGATGAATTCTTAGCATCTTTATTGCTTACTCTTGTCAGGAAGTTACTTTCTGGACTTCTTGTTCACTTTCAAGGACTTCCTGAAATTACTGAATTGTTTACCTTCTTGCTGTGATGGGGCAAACTGCAAACCTCCAAAGGCTGTGATTGTGTCAAGGCTATATTCAGGCTAAAATGCAGCTGTCAACAACCATGATTGGTGCTAAGATATCTGGGTGTAATTGCAACTCCACAAAGTTTGGCTGTAATTTATGTGAGCATTCCATGGGATTTCTAATCAGTCTGTTCCAACTTAATTTGTGAGTTGCCTGGCAAGAATTGTATAGCATTATCATCCCTGGATTTGTGGTACATGAGACTCAATAAAAGAATTTATTGAGTGATCTTGACTACTTTTAGTTGTGTCAGCTGATTTGGCAAAATGAAGAAAAAGAAGCAACATACATAGCAAAAGCAATATCAGAATGATACTATGGGCAGTGAAGTGGCAGACCCAGTGACAGCTGCCCAGGAAGGCCAACTTGAAGGGCAGCTGTCTTTGGCAGCAGGAGTGGAGACAGAGCATTTAAAGCATGATGGCGAGAGGAAAAAAAGAAAGTGGCAAGGGTAGAGAAAGGATAGAATGCTGAGGAAGAAGAAAACAATAAGCTGTAAGAAACCAGAGAAGAACAAATCCAGAAATACTCTACTGTTAAGACCATATAGCCAAACATTTCAAACTTCAGATAAGAGATGTAACAGAAACCATTGTTGAGACTTACAGATACATTTTCCAGTTCTACTAAAGTGCTATTCCATTGTCTATTGTTAAGTGCCCAAGAGACAGCTACCTAGATCCTGCCTGGAGGCTAAGACCTCACCTACAGCAAAAGGCTGAGGCACTGACCTATTGTCCCCACGCAAGAAAAAGCTAAAACACTGTAAGAGCATTCCAGGACCTGAAGCCTTTGTAATTATTGTAATCTTCTGAGGCTATTTCTGTTGTTCCCACTTAACTGATGGGACCATTCATTCACTGCTGTTGAGCACTAAGGAAAGCTAGTCCTGGTAGTAGCAGGCATTTAAAGAAAGTCTTTCCTGTTTCTAGCTTATCAGAGAAATTGAGACCCTCACGACTGATATGTGATGACAGCAAGGACTGAATGCGGGTGGAGGGAAAAAGGAGGAAGTGACGGAAGAGGGAGACAAAGATAAATTTAGAGTTTGGGGAAGACAATGGGAATTATTCTAGAAAAACTATAAACCAAATTGAGTTGCAGCTTGACCTTGATTTTCAGCATCTCTCAGTAAGCTCTTACCTTTTTCATCACTGAATCTCCATTGACATATTACTCAATTTTAATATGTACATTTGTGTATTTCATAAAAATGTCTGAAATGTATGTTTGTTAATATTTCGTTCAGTTAGTGAATCATTGTTCTCTTACTCTGGAAACTTATTTTGCAGGATGCTTTTGATGTCTAAATATGAGTATGTATGAATAGATAATTTTCATCAAACATGGCAACTTTTTTCTTAAAGTGCTCTTGATACCACAACTATAATGTTATCAATAACTCAAATAAAACTTTTGGATAGAAAGTTTTGTGTTTGCTTTTGTATTGTGTTCCATCTTGTTATGTGTTGTGGACAATAAAGCATTTGTATCTAACAATAAAAAAGGGGGGGTGAGCGCATTTCACAACGAATTGGACATTTAATCCAGACTCCAACAAAAGGCTGGAATTTCAATAAATATAAATGAAAGGAAAAAAACAGAAGCATACTAGATGCAGAAAGCACTGGTAGGCAATGCACGGAAAGCATGGAGGGGCTTGGTGGTAGAGGAGAGCTGTGAGGTCAATCTAGGCTTAAAGGATTTAAGAAAGACTAAAAATAAAAAGAATCAATTAGTCATGTTACACCCATACAGGTAGAATAGTGTTCTGGTACAAGAAATGAGCTAGCATGCCAGAGGAAGCAGAAAGAACCCCATTTTCATATTGCTAAGCGAAAAAGTCTCTAAGTGCTCTGGATGATGATGGACAATGGAGGAACATCTCTACGTGTCCACCAACATGTAGGAGAAAATAAAAGTTTAGGAATTAAGTACCCAGCATTATCTACAACAGGAAAATGGGGTAAAAATCAAATATGTATGTTTTTGTAATTCCTCTGTGTCAGATTGCTATTTATATTTTACCTGTGTTTATTTGTGTGCATATATGGTCATATGCATACCACTGCACATGTGTATGTGTGGTATGCACGTGGAAGTAAGAGGAAAACTTTCAGGAGTCCTCTCTCCCCTTCCACCATCTAGGCTCCAGGGATGAAACTCAGCTTGTTAAGCTTACTGTCAGACACCTTTACCTGCCAAGCCATCTTGTTGGCTGAAGTATGTATGATTTTACGAGCAGAGATAATAGGACAGTTAGCTGCTTTGGGATTGTTGCAACCGGGGAACTTGAAAAGAATGGGTGACTTGATGATCCCAGGCCTAAAACAATGACAGCATCAACAACAGAATCAAAGAAGTCAGAAAATCAAGCTTAAAGGAGGAAAGTGAGCCCATTTTAGGACATATGGGGATTGAATGGGTAGTGGGACATTCAAGAGGGATAATGGAAACCAGATGTGATAAAAATGCTCCATACCTCTTAGGATTTGGCCACTGAATGTTGGTACTGCCACAAAAGAGCTCACCCAGACTAAAGAAGTATAGTGAAAAGATACATAGGCCATGACCCCTGAGGCATACACCTTCTGTCTTTTGTTACACCTCACCAGGCTTCTCTAACATGCATGGATTCCCTGCCTAACATTAACAGTGTGTGGAGAACATGCCTTACAAGCATAGGACAGGGAGAATAAAGAGCAAGCCACTAGGAATGCTCCAGGCTTGGAAATGCCACACTGCTTCAGAAGGTTCAGAGGAACATTCACCTCCAAGAGGATTTTCCCTTAGTGTCCCCTTGAGGCCCCTTGTGCCTCATGTGCTAAAGAGCTGGGGAGTTTAGTGAGACACAAATAGGGCCTGAAAGCTTCCTGACCTTAAGCTTGGGAGCAGAGGGTTAGACTCATTCTCCTCTTAACAATTACCAGATGGAGGGGAATCAAGAAAACATTAAAGGAATATTGTAAAGGGATGTCCATTATCCTTCCCTAAAGAGGTACCTGCCAAATCCTTGAACTAAAGAATTCCGTAGAATGGGCCCACACTTCTTCTGAGCTCAATTTCCCCTCTGCTTGCAGACCACCCAGATCCTGTTTGGAATCATGAACTTTTCGTTTGGAGTTGTTTTCCTTTTCACCTTGGTAAACCCATACCCAAGGTTTCCTTTTTATATTTATCCTCCGGATATCCATTCTGGGGCTCTGCTTTGGTGAGTATAGTGCATTTGATTCAATTTCAAGGCATATAAATCAGGCAAGGTGTTAGTGAATGAATTCTTGATTATAAAACAAGACAGACTCTGTAGAAATGACACAAAGATATTAACCCCCGGCAAATACTTCTATCTTCCACTGAATCACCAGAATTGATGGTAGCTCATCTTTGACTATTGAAATTTGGAGAGAATATTCCTTTGGGTTTTATGGTTGTTATGGTCCATTAATTCATTCAAAATTAATTGCAATATATGGTAAACTGTATTCAAAGAACAAGACAATGAGGATCCATTAGTCTAATCAGAAAGAAACCATGCCAAGAGGTCAACATAATTCTTATACCTATATGATTTTGCTTCTGGTGCTAATAAGCAAGCAGTTTGCTCTACAGAAAGTGAAGAAGCAGGGGCAGGATGTGCCCTCTGAACCCACATAGAGATGCTTATTTAATCACATGTAGTCCACAATAACTTAGCACCTAGTTAGCATCAGAGAATGGGCAGGGTGTGGAATTCAGTACAAGGCAGTCCCTGGTCACAAGTCCTCGTACCATGGGGTATTACAAGTATTTGGCAGAGGAAATATAGGCTACTTCCAAAAGAAAAAATATCTAAGTGTAAATGGAACTGTCCAGAGTCATTTCTAGCTGGACCAGGGCTTAAAGGATGAGGGGTTGTTTAATTAGGTGTAAATCTCATACAAAGGATGGGAACAGGGATTATCTGGATAAAGGAGGGAGGTTCTTTGCCTGACCAACAGTCTGGAAGAGTGTCCACTGTTAAGGGGGCTGGAAGCAGAGGCTGAAATTTTAAATATATCTGGGCCAAAACTCAGATTTTGAAAGTTTCCACTAGGCAATGAGTCTGCCATATTTGACTCACCAAATTAAAAAAAATTTAGGTGTGTGTGGTTTCTTCCTTCTTCCTACTTTCCTTCCATCCTCTCTCCCTCTCTCTCCCCCTCTCTCTGCCTCTACTCTCTCTGTCTCTCTCTCTCTAGTCTGTTGCTGAAATTGTATCTAGTGTTCCCATCCAACAGAAATACATACTGATTGGACTATAATGACTATATGACCTTAGTGTCCCTAAACTGATGACACTGGTGTCTTTGGAAGCTGAGTCATGATATCAATAACAGGAAATGGATGAGGAAATCAAAGTCCAGTAAGGTAGAAACAGCCTCTTCTTCAAACAGGTGGCTCGAGTGAAGCAGATCCAGTCTTTGTCCCCTGTTCTGTGGGCAGTATGTGAGGTGGTTCACCCTTCTCACTCCTCTGGAGTTTCTGTTGCCTTAGGAAGGAGGAATAGGGGAAGAGTGGGCAGAGATCTGACCTGAGAACCCTCTGCTTTAGCTTAACATGCCCATCATGAAGATATTTTATTATTATTATTTTTTTGTAGTTCGTTAATTCTGGAGCCTTTCTGATTGCACTGAAAAGAAAAACTACAGACACTCTCGTGAGTTCTATTTCTACCTTATAAAATTATAATTGCTGAGTAATTTGAAAATCATCATAGAATCAGAAACCATTAGTTATCAGGAGACTTTTCCAGATTATCATGTTTAGTCTACATGTTCTACATGAAGATACAGGCACAGAACAGTTCAACGACTCACCCATGGTCTCAGATCATTAATTCAGATTGGGTCTCAGTAATCCAATCATTCAGTCATTCATTCTTTCCATAAGAAGTAGTTTTGATGCCAAGTGCATACCAAATGCCTTAACAGGCCATAGTTTTGACTCACAGGAAAAGCACAATATAGACAACCTAATGAAATCATGAATGTAAAGAACATATTGCTGATATGTAGACATATTCTCACTCAAAGAAACAAAGATTAGATAATAATTTATATGGCAGTAAGTTATTTGGATCAAAGAACATCCTAAAACTTTGTAATTTAAAAATGTTTACTTTTGTTTATTGGGTATGTATATGGGGGAAGAATTGCATGTCCATGCCACAGTGTGCCCGAAGTACAGTTATACATGTGACAATCATGGTGTAGCCATGGAAGTCACAGTATACCCTTGGAAGTCTGCAGTGTACCTGTGGAAGTCACAGTGTACCCTTAGAAGTCACAATGTACCCATGGAAGTCACAGTGTACCCATGGAAGTCACATTGTACCGTGGAAATCAACAGTGTACCCATGGAAGTCACAGTGTACCCATGGAAGTCACACTGTACCCATGGAAGTCACAGTGTACCTGTGGAAGTCACAGTGTACCCATGGAAGTCACAGTGTATGCTGTTACGCTTTTCCTCACAGTGTCCCCCATCCTTGTTACGGCTCACAGTGTGCCGATGGAAATCACACACTGTACCTGTGGCAGTCACAGTATACCCATGGAAGTACACTGTACCACGTGGAAGTCACCAGTGTACCTATGGCCCCCCAGTCACGGTGTACCTATGGCGGTCACAGTGTGCCTGGAAGTCAGGAGATGGCTTGTGGGAACTGGTTCTCTCCTACACTCATGAGCTCCAGGGATGAATTCTAGGATTTGTCAGGTGGCAAGTGCCTTTATCTGCTGAGCCATCTCACCAGCCCAAAAGTTTGTAATTTTAGGAAGATGTAAAAGTGACAGAGAAATATAGTATGAGTGTTTGGTCAAATGTAGTCTTTAAATGAACATTTAAACATGCCATAGCTACTTCTGTTTGAATGGAAGTTAACTTAAAAACAGAATGTGAGAGATGGAGGGGTTATCAAAGGTTGTCTGACTGTTCTCATTCACTGTGGGTGAAGCCTGAGGTGTATTATGAGTTGTAAATGCCATAAATTATCACATGGTGTTTTCTTGGTGTTGTGACTAATCCAGCTCTCCCAATACTCACCCACCCCTACTGCTCTGTTTGTGGTGCAAGAGTAGGCCTGAGTCTTGTGTTATGTTCTGATTCTATTGCAGATAAAAATGAGCCAGGTGATGAATTTACTTAGTGCCCTGGGAGCAGCGGCTGGAATCATTCTCCTCATATTTG